AAAAAAAAAAAAAAAAAAATCATTCATACACAAGTCATCAAGAAACTTAATTTACTGTACATTTATCATTCGAGATCATCATCCATGGCCTCTGATGTTGATTATTCAAAAGCTAACTAACTACATATCCTTCTTCGGCTTCCGGCTCAGTTCAGAATAACGGCCCCCCATCAGACGCAAAACCTCCCCCCACAAATCATCAGACGAAGAAGAGCTCTGCAATATCAAATCCGTGCTGCAAGCGGCTAAATACCAATAGTCGGACTCGATTTCCTCTATGAGCTGGTCCATCTGCCAGCCCGCGTACCCTATAAAGAATCTCAAGTCCCGTGGCGAAATGGAGCCCTTTTTGACCAGGGCCGCGGCCTTGTCCAGACTGTTTCTTGACCCAAAGTACAGCCCGGAAATGACTTCCTCAATCCCGTGGGGCTCGATATTCTCATCGGCCTTCAGAAGGTACATGCTGGCATCGACGGGCCCACCGAAGTGGAGAGAGCAGTCAGCAAAGGTTGTCCCGAGCTCGATGTTGGTGGGGTTCATGTGCTTCATCTTCTTGTTCAGGGGCCGGTTGATGATGATCCCGTGGGGCCCTTCTTGGGGGTTTTTGGTACCCAATCGAAGGAGGAGGATCACCGTCCGCTCGAAGGTTTTGAACCCGTCGAGCTTCTCGGAGGCCACGAGGAGGCAGCCGATCTCGGGGGCAGAGATGGGGTGGGCCCACTTGTGGGGGAGAGGTTTCGGCTGGGCTGGGGTGGTTCTTCTCTCTTGATGTCGAGCGTTATCTGCATTTTCAGCCTGCAGCGAGGTCAAGTTGAGCACAACTTAAGAAGATGGAAACTTCATTGCTCGAACTACAAGATTCTAAATTGTTGAATGAAAACAATGAGCGCAAAAAATTTGATCAAAAGCAGGACAGGCTATTCACATCCTGAGGTTCATATAAGGAAGAAGCAACCTTAACAATGATATATGTTGAAGAAGGAAGAAAGAAGAATAATAAAGTATAAGAAAAAAAAAAAAGAAAAATTAAAAAATACCTGCTCCTGAATGTAGAGAGATGCTCTAAACTCTCTCCAATCCAAGGGTTTATGTTGGGACTTGTTGGAGCCGTTATCACCTGATTTCTTCTTGTTGTTGTTGTTGTTGTTTCCTTTCAGGCCATCTCCTCCACTTTTCAAATTATCATTGTTCCCTGTAAAATCGAATGAATCCCAAGTCAAACAACAAGATTTCAACTTTTCAAGAGCATTATCATTTATTGGAAAACCAAGTAATATTGATTTTTGATGCTGCAACTCATCAAGGATACACAATATTTGTTTTTTCCGCACAGACAAGTCAGAAACTAGAAATATATAGAGATGGCTTGATACTTAATTGTACAGAACTCATTTATCCAAACAAATGAACTTAACCAGACCCCAATCATTCATGCCCTCTCCATAATAAAAGCAGAAAAGCCAAACATTTGCAGTCAACCATTTGATCCGAGTGAAATAATTCTATTCGTAGAAAATCATATTGTTACATCCTGGCAAGAATGTAATTGTGTGGTTCGACTGTTCTCTTATGTAAAGCCGAATGGCCAAATAGAGTTGGAGAAATAAAGCACACACCATAGCAGTTTTCCACTAAGCCTTAGAATCATATTTCTCCATTTATGTACAGTACGAAGTCGAGCTCCACTTCATGAAAAAATAAAATCCACCAACACAAGCTAAACTCGAAACTCTCATTTATCAATCAATATCTCTAAGCTTATCGGCAAAGTAAATTAGATTCAAAAGAGCTCCTAGACGCAAAATGAAACTCGATTTATCCGTCAATAACCAGAAAACCACATACTTTAGAGTCTGCAAACACTCCGCAATTCTAACCTACATTTCGATTTTTTATTGCATTCACTCAATTAAGAGTTAATTGTTCAACTTCTACCAGCTGATCAACAAATGAAATATTCAAAACGGGACCTCCCCCAATTTCACATACAGAACTTTAATCAACAAGTATAGTAGTAAAAAAAAAAAAAAAAGAGTAAATATCCAATGAATTTACATGATCGCCCAAAAGTTCAGCTAGAAACAGTAAAAACTCAGCTGAAGAACACGGATCTACCCACCAGCCGCAACACAATTAAGAAGGGAAAGGATCACCTGAGCTAGAAGAGGAATTTGAATCATAATTGCTGGAATCCCCCGGATTCTTCTTCGCCATGGCCTTAATCAAGGCCGATCGGTACCTACAATGGCCGGGAAAAGATTCCCCCCACGAAACCCTAACTTCCACAGCCATTGAATGAGCCTTCAAGCCCCAGCAATTGGGTTTCTCCGAAAATGAGCTTCTCAGAAGAAAATCAGCGCCTACCGCATGCACGCAGCACAGATCCATTAACCCCCTCAATAATCAACTAATTAAAACAAAACCAGAAAGAAAAAGAGGCAAAATTAGCTCGGACTGTTTGTTTCCTTTCTTGAGGTGAGGATAAAGTTAGCCGCTATACGAGAAGAAAATTGGAGTGGAGTGGAAAAGGGAAAGCGTGAGCGAATATGCTGAGCACTTAATAACAGAATGATTCAGAAATGGACAAATGGTGAAGATGATAGGTGTAAGTTAGCCTAGTTTGAACAGGCTTTTTTATTTTGCGCCTTTTGGTACGCTATAGCGTACAGTGATAATAAAATAAATTAAAGCAACCCACATTTTAACCCCGGGCCTGGACCGGCGGTCCCTGACCTTCTATCACATTAGGCTACCAAACTTTAATGGATAGGCCCATTTAGTGGTAGGTCTTTTTAAGGAACTTGATATGATATTAGTGGCCCGGTCCAAATTTTAGAAACGCCCATGTGATTGCATTCAATTGGGGGATTTTTAGGTTTACCACGAGAACTTAAAATATTTGCATTTGTACCAAGGTGTAGATTTTATTTGCGTTCCTACTTTATTAGTGAATAATCAAATTTCAGTCACCAAATAAAACATATGAAACCTATCTCTTAAATTGCGCATGAATGGGAATATCGGATTTGCACTAAAAAAACAAAAGATATGGTAAGTTTATATATCCTATTAATTAGGAGATTGTTTCAATACAAAATAGAAAGATAAGAAATTTGAATCTCAAACAACGTCATCTTCTAACTACATATAAAATACATAATCAGGATTATATACAGAAGATATACTCATTATATACAGACGATATACATAAAATACACAACATATATATAGAAGATAAATCGATCTTGTCATTATATACAAAATATATACAAAAAATATACAAAATATATACAAAAAACACATTAGACCACAAAATTTAATTTCAGCTCGATTTATATACAAAATATATACAGAAAATATGCACAAGATATGATTCACCACCAGGACCCTTTCCCTCTACCTCCCAATCCTCCCCAAATTATCTTCAGCTCGATTTATTTGCCGATCTCTTCAAACCCTAACAAGCAAACTGTTCCCTTTTCCAATTATCATGGCCAGGAAACAAAAAACCCGCGCTACAGAAGCTACCGAAGAGCCTGAACTCGTACAACAAACTGAGCCCGAACCCAGTCGGAGCCCGACTGAAACATAGTTGTTGTTCGATACATCCTTTCGCAAAGAAGAACACTGTCGGTTAATCGAAAGTGCTGCTATTCGGGCTCTCGGTACGCAAAAACAACCGTTGCTCGCTGTTGAAAAAGGTCAGGTTTGCTCGTGTGGAAGGGGTGCGGGTATTTGGACCGATGGAGAACTGGCTACCTACTGAAATTATTGAAAAGCGGATCGAGAAAAGAGAAAGGGGCATAGAGAAGAAGGAGAAGAAGAGATAAAGATGAGAGAGAGAAATCTACCCTTAATTACGCTTCATTTCATTTTTAAGTTAATCATATTTTATAAAATATGGTAATTTTGCAATTATTGTCATATATCTAGTAATTTTGCAAATAGAAATGATAAGTTATGTAAAGGGTGTAATTTACTCAATTATTTTGAGCTAGGCAAAAAATGTGAGAGTTCAAGTTCAAATTTGGTAATTTACTCTTGTGAACCTTGAGTGTGCTTCTGTCAACTAGCTAATTTGAGCTATGGCTAGTAACACGAGCCGAGTTGAATCGAACATTGGGCTTATAAAGTCATGATCGATTTTTTGAATGTGACCAGGTCGAATGTTGTTTGAGTTGGGCTTGGAAGAAAACTTCTAGTAAATAGGTAAATGATAAGTTACTGATCACTATTATAAAACCAAGAGATTTATTATCATTAATGTTTTTGTCTAATTAGTAATTAATTGGTAGTTTAGTATCGCACCATGACACACCGTATGATTATACTACATGATTGCATCATGTTATGTTATTCCACAACAAAATAATACGACATATTAACGAGAAATGTTACGATCCCGTTACGGTACCATCTCATCGAGAGTTTTAACCGTTGGATACACATATAGTTAGTATAAAATAGATGATCTGACGGTTAAAGCGCTCGACGGGTTGATTTCGTAACGAGACCACAACATTTCTCATGATTAATTATGCACCAATGATTGCATGAGACAAATATGGCAATATGTGAATAATTTTTGAATTGACAGTATGAAAACCAATACTATCATCATTTCTGGTTATTTTCACTAATATTATATTTTGAGTATCCTCGGTCAATTACCGTACAAGTCAGCACAATTTTAGCAAATTAATCCTCATGCATAACAACATACCATCATGTCTGTTAAACATGTGGCCTACAAGCAGCAGTTAGTTAACTCTATGTGTTACCACAAAAAACGAGGTTTATATGACCTAACAATTATTGTAAAAAAGCCGCAATTTTGCATAACAAACCCCACTCTAGACTGCAAAAACCTTATCCATTTTCACCCAACATTTTATATTACTTGGTAAAACTTACAAACAAATTATATCCATTCTAGATTTAGATTCCCGACTAATTTACCACATTATTAGGATCTCAACAATAAAAACCATGTATTTTTTCTTACCTCAATCCGCCGCACTTCCTATATATATCACTCTGTCACTCCAGTGTCACTAGCAATTATCAGAGATTTATCAAATTATAAACACACTTCAATCATGGTATGTCGCTCAAAATTCTCCCAATATTCCCAGGTTTTTAGTTTAATCAGCATTTTTATTTGAATCCTTCAATGTTTGTGTGTGTGTTTGTTTTTTCTTATGTTTCAGGCTAACGAAACGAGCTCGACTAAGGATGATTTGAACTCTTGGCTCCCGATAACCGCTAGCCGCAAAGCAAAATGGTGGTACTCTGCTTTCCACAACGTGACGGCTATGGTTGGGGCCGGCGTGCTCGGCTTGCCTCTCGTTCTTGCCCGGCTCGGCTGGTAAGAGTAAAACAATTATCATTATAGTTAATTCTCGATTTTTTTGGCCTAAAGTATGTAAAAATGGTCCAAATTGATTGAAATGGTCCAAATTGAGATAATGTAACAAAACATTTTGCCCTGTCTAGGATTCCTGGAATCTCTATAATATTGCTGTCGTGGCTAGTGACGTGGTACACCGTGTGGCAGCTGATTCAGCTGCACGAGTCTGACACGGGACAGAGGTTCGACCGCTACACGGAATTGGGCCAGCACGCGCTCGGTCCGAATAAGGGGACGTGGCTAGTGATGCCCCAACAGCTTGTGGTCCAAGTTGGGTCCAATATCGTGTACATGGTCACCGGCGGCAAATCCCTCAAGAAATGCCTCGCGCTCTTAACATCGGCTGCCGATTTCCGAAAGACTTATTACATCATATTCTTCGGCGCACTCCACCTCATCCTCTCGCAAGTCCCGAATTTCAACTCCTTGAAGATTATTTCATTAACAGCCGCCGTTATGTCTATAAGGTAAACTTTCGAGCTCGAGTTTTAGTAATTAACCAATCATTTATTATTATTATTATTATTATTATTATTATTATTATTATTATTATTATTATTATTATTATTATTATTATTATTATTATTATTAATACAAATCACGTGCATTGCATGTGCAGTTACTCGTGGATAGCCACGGGTGCATCTATAGGGAAGGGCATATCGCACCATAAAGTGGCGGCCTACGGTTTCAAGTCGACAACGACAGCTGGCATAGTTTTCGATATCTTCAGTAGTTTGGGAGTTGTCGCATTTGCTTTTGCCGGACACAGTGTGGCGTTGGAAATTCAGGCGACTATTCCATCGACCGCGGAAAAGCCGTCGAGGATTCCGATGTGGAACGGTGTCAAGGTGGCTTATTTAATTGTCGGGTTGTGTTATTTTCCGGTGGCGATATCTGGGTTTTGGGCCTTCGGCAATGTGGTGGAGGACGACGTGTTGTTATCCCTCGAGCACCCGGCTTGGCTCATAAGTCTAGCTAATTTCATGGTGTTTGTTCATGTCCTTGGAAGTTATCAGGTAATTTTGTTTTTTCTTTTGCCTTTGTCTTTATGAAGTTTTGGAAGTTGATTATAAATAGATGATGATTGCTTGATTGAGGTTTTTTTATTCTTTGTAATGTTTTAAGGTATTTGCAATGCCTGTTTTCGACAAAATCGAAGGCGCATTGGTACAAAAGTGGAATTGCACGCCTGGACGACGCCTCAGGCTTGTGGCACGTAGCGTTTATGTTGGTAATTTTCTAAAAACTTTCGAAAAAACTTGATTCTAGTGAAAGCTGTTGCACTCACTGGTAGGGTCGAATCTGTGACTTTCGTGATATACATTGTTTACTACCAAACTTGCATTAATTTGGATGATCATTCTTGATTATGATATTAATGGATTAGGTTTTGAGTAGATTACATTTCATTTCACAATGTTAAAGTTTATAATTATAAAATGGTAATGTCACACTTATATATAACAATATAATTATTTTATGAAATTTGTTGTTAGAAATGTAGTGTCAAAGTTGAAAACATTACATTGATTATATGATTGCATATTCTGTTTCAATTTAATGTTAGATTATGATATTAAGAATGCTCAAGGTTCATTGATGTCGCAGTTATCACATGTCTCGTTGGAATAGTCGTTCCATTTTTTGGAGGATTGCTAGGGTTTTTTGGCGGATTAGCCTTTTCAAGCACATCTTATATTGTAAGTTTGTTTTTATACCTTTTTGTAAGGAATTAAAAATTGACCAATTTTTTCAAACAAATAATTAATATAAATAAACCTTTATATTCAATTATATATATATATATATATATATATATATATATATTTAAGTCTAATGCATTTTTTGTATTTTTAACAGATCCCTAGTGCACTATGGATCAAACTCCGTAAACCTGAGAGATGGAGCTTTCATTGGTTTGCATGTTGGGTTAGTGACACCGATTTTAAATGCTCCAACTTGACTCGTGCAGTTCGATTATAACACTAATGTTCGTGTTTTTTCAATTTTCAGATCTCAATTTTGATCGGCATTGGCATAACTATAGTAGCACCAATAGGAGGATTACACGAGATCATTGTATCCGGGGCCAATTTTACACCGTTCTCGTAGGAAAATATGATCATCCTTTTTGAAGATGATCGTATAATATTAGAGTTTATACTTGAATGATCAATTTTTTGGTTTGATCGACATTTTTGTTTAGGAAAGAGATTATCTCGCCACGAAATTCTGTAACGGTTGTTGCTTGAGATATGAGAAATGCAATCTATATTAATTGTTCTAGCATTTCAATTGTTTTTTTTACATGTTTTAGTAAAACCATGCACTAATTAGCATATGCTATTTATATGGATCATGTTACAATCATATAAGAGATGATATAAAGTTTGATACTATAATACATGTAACTAACTAATTTGAGAAAATTACCTCGTACACCAAGTAATTTATATTTTGTTACATTGTTAGAACCCTTTTACAAATTTTAGCAATATTGCAAGAAATTATAATTTTATTTGCAGCTTTACCTAAAAGGTATTATATAAATAATTTAGATACATAATCAAAACCCTAATCATCGTCCCTGCAAAGCCTTTCCCACCATCAGGAGGGCTTCTCTATCCCTGAGTTTCTACTACAGAGACCCCTCCGCCATCTTTTTACCGCTCACGATCCCAAAAAGTTGGCCCGGGCGGTCTGGTGTCCTTGCCTATGACTTTTCAATCACGAAAGTTCTTCTGATTAGATGCTGAGGGTTAATAGACTGGTCTTGATCCCACACCACACTCGCTGAAAGGCTTAGTTTCCAAATCAACCAACATATTGGATATGTACAGCTTCAACTGTTCTCTTTCTTCAGAAGTTCTGGCGTGAGTGCCTTCTCCTTCGGATCCTCCGCTCATTAGATTCAGACCGCTGGTGAATTTGTCGGATAGAAAGATCTTTTTGAAAGCGAATCAATTGACTGATCAGAGATGCCAAGTCCATGATTGAATCCATCTTGACGAACACTTGGTGTGCTTGATTCGTTGACAGATTTTCATTCTGTATATGTTACGGGTATATACAGTATATTATCAGTATATGTTTCCGTCCGAGTAATGTATCATCCTTTCAGAATGAAGAAAGCGAAAGATTAGATTGATTCAGCTATTGGACATGAGAGAAATACATTTTGACTTCACAATGTTAGTGTTTTATATAAATTTCTCTCGTATGAAGTGAGGTTGTTCTAATTGTTAGCTTGTTGAGCTCGTGTTTCTCAATTCTATGATGAACAACCCGTGTTCTAATTGGTAACACATTTTTTTTTTTGTTTGGCATATATGTTTATGATATGTATATTTTCGTTATTTTATACCTCTTTTATTATATAGATTTTATGATTTGTATATGTTACAATTTTGTATATGGTAGATGATTTATGTTTATATATACCTTGCGGTTGAGGCCATACTTCCGATGATGAGGACAACAAATGAAGTAAGTATTGGTTTTGGATAAATATACTACATATATACATAATATATACCCCAAACATACTATATAAAGTTGTTAAAAACCAATACAATCGATAAACAATATATATATGCAAAATATACAGTATATATACACAAAATATACAGTATATATCGCGTTGAATCGTCTCGTCCGACATGGCCGCGTTCAGTGTCGTTCTTTCAATGTTGAACATCATATTTTTTTCTTTAATTGTGATTGTCTTCAGTTACTAAATTATAGGAGCAATTTAAGGAGCAATTTCACTTCTTATTTGGTAACAAATATGTTTGCATATACAAAATTAAATGATATCTAATTGGTAATGATGCAATAAAATGTAACACTATGATAGAATTGCAATTATTTTAAAATCGCACGGTAAACATAAGATTATCCCAACTAATTTCACTCATCAAAGGCCAATTTTGGGTCACTATTTGGTCCGGGTTTAAAAGAACATTGGGCTCGACGGTTAAACGGAGTGAGCCCATCTGGGCTATACTAATGAGCTTTTCGAAAAAATAAAAATAAATCATTTTGCGGGAGGAGCAAGCCGACAGCTACCACATAATCTTCAATGAGCTCTCTTCCGATTTCTTTGCAGAGCTCATCTTTTGTTGGAGCCGTTCAAAACAATGGCAAAAACAGTTGCAGCCCTTTTGTCCGAATTCAATCCCCACTTCCAAATCTCCTCGGTTTTACGAAACCCACATTTTCTTGCATAATAAATGACCCCAAAAATTTGCTCTCTCACAATAGAAGCAGATTTTGCGGAATAAAGTCGGTGAAGCAAGAAAGGGAAGCTCAAATTTCTCAAGTAAAAGATGATATCGGCGATGGCAGCGGCAGCCCATCAACCAGTTTCCTGTCTTTTCTTTGCCCCTTGCTTAAATTCTTCTCTGTAAGTAAGAAAGATTGTAACTTTAAACCTTTTACTTAGTATAATTAGCTACTTAAGCGTGTTTAGCCCTTTCAGCTGGCAATCCAAATTCTGCAGGTTTTCACCAGGCATAGTGAAAAAAGCTAGGTGTTTAAATTTTGTTTTTCTCGGAAAGAAAAATACTTTTACTGCTACATAGGTTAATCAAGTTTGTAGACTGTAATGGTGCTGCTAGATTGCGTTATTCGTGTTCAAATCATAATGCTTATGGTTTGGGTATCTTGCAGGCAGGGGATCCTTCTGGAGAACGAAATTATCTACTGGAGGTATTGCTCACTTTAATTTGTTATTTATTTTTTATTTATTTTTGGGGTTCTTGAAGAGATTTGTTTAAGATTTCCATTTATGCTGCTTACATCAGTTTCACGAGGCCTCCAGTTAGCTGAGTTGTTATATCACTGTTTAATGACTGAGTAAACTATCTGACCTTTAGTTGGATAGTGAATTACTCCATGATTGTGCTAAAGATCTGACTTTTCTTGTATAGGTGAGTTATTCTTCAATGTATTTTTATGGAAAATTCGTGATTTTTTTTTTTCTTTTTTTTTTTCGTGACAGGAGGCTACATCTTCATTATCTACTTTAGCAAGGCTCCCATGGGGCTCCAGTTCACTACCCGACATATTAAACGACAAACAGAAAGTGGATCCGCCATTGCCGTTGCAGCTCTTTGAGTTCGGTAAGTACCTGTTTTCCTATGCATTGAGAAAGCACAAAGTTTTGTAACATATTCGAGGCACATATTGTGGTTTTTGCCCTAATCACTAAAATCCAACTGACCCCCATATAATAACTTCGACTTATGATCAACAGAGGCATGCCCTTTTTGCAGGAGGGTCCGGGAGGCCTTGACCGAGCTTGATTTATCTGTCGAGGTGCGTAAGAGAGTGTATCAGCTTCTATTATTCTTTGGAATAATTTTGTTGTACTAGCAAGTTTGCGAATCATCAACTCTTACCTTACTCTTGTTTGTGCAGATCTTTCCATGTCCAAAAGGGTCAATAAGACACAGGGAAATGGTTAGAAGACTTGGTGGAAGGGAACAGTATGAAAAATTTATATCCATATTTCTTGAACTTATATCAATTTTTTAGGCCTGGGTCAAGTATCATTTTTTATAGTGTGGGAAAACTTTTAGTCATTCATCCTTTTTTTAGAAATGTCCTTCGAACATTTTCTTTTTAGGAAAAGCAGGTTATTGGACTCGCAAATGGCTATATTCATTACTTATATGAAATGTATCATTTCCTTTGCAGGTTCCCATTTCTTGTAGACCCCAATACTGGAACTTCAATGTATGAAAGCAGTAGGTTTTTGTTCCCCAAATTTTTTCGTACCTATCGTGCTCTTTTTCTCTTGGATTATGTTCTTTTGAGTTATTTAATCTATAATCTGCTATTCCTATTGAATGCATATGTCGCATGTCATTTGCCAAGTCTTGTTTTATTTTGTAGGTATTATAATTTATAACTATTGGTTTTTCTCTTATAGGTGACATTGTTAAATATTTATTTCAGCGATACGGTGGAAAAAGTAGTCCTTCATTTGGCATATTGGAGAGGTTATTCTTTTCTGTCATAACTTATACTAGGGCAATATCCATGTATTACACGGGTGTTTGTTAAGAAATTTATATTTAAAAAGAAAAATAATAATAATTTTTTTAATGTCAAATACTTTTTTGAACAACTATATTACTATTTGTATTTAAAATAACACACATCACTTACGGCTTACTGTATTATACTATTATATTTTTTAAATAAATTTGTTTTTTTTAAATAAATATTAATAGGTAATTATTTTCTATTATAAAAATAAATATAATTATTTAGTTATTTTGTAAGTGCAATATAGGTGTCAAATCAAAGCTCACCAAGACATGATTAATTTGATATATTATGTATAAAAAATTGATAATAAATAAAAAAATATTAACTTTTAAATCTACTTATAATTTTAGTTAGTAATTTTTTCATAATATTAAAAGAAAGATGAGGAAAAACAAAAGGTTGAGGAAAAAATTTGTTCCTTATAAATCACGTGTTGAATAGGAAATAATATTAGTGCTCTTAAAAGGGCCATAAATATCTAGTATATTTATAAATATATAAATATCTAGTATCTTTATAGTTATTCCAAACTCAATTATCCTTGGATAGTTGGATTGGGAATAAATTAAAATTCATCCAAGCTAAGTGACAAATCATAAATAATTGCCACATAGAATTACGAAGCATGCGAGCCTGCCACTTAAGCTTAGCACATTCGGTAATATTATGATCAATAATATCAACAATTCATTGTATGAGATAGAACAAGATGTTCTGTATTTTGGAGAGAAAAGAGAAAGCGGCTCAATAAACTGAAGAGAGAAAATTACAA